ACTGTTCAATAAATGGATCAATGAAAACACTATTTGAGTATCTTTGAACATAGTAAGATAGAAGGGGAGGAATCACATATTTCCTATTGCATGCTGTTTATGTTTATGCACATGTATAAAATATGCATTTGTTAATTCAGATTTGGGAAGACAAGAAGTAAAGGTCAATGTTCTTAGTAGCATGGTCCAAAGAAATGTGATAAATGTGTTGTCATCAGACTTGCTGGGACTATTGCTTCTGAGTATAATTACTCATTTCTCAGCCTGCCACCCCAACCTCTTGGCTCCTTAGAGAGTATAATTGACAGAACATGTCAGTTATATTCTATCTAGCCCCGGTGGTTACAAAATAGGACTAGATGGGATAAAGTGCAAGAGTGTGCTGCTGCACCCTATGACTCAGCTACTCTGAGTTATCAGCAGTCCATATTATCTTTTATTAAAGGATTCACTTTAGAAATGAAATAATTCCAGGAGGAAATAAGACAACACACTCCATCACAGTGAAAGAACCTGATATACATATAAGATGAAACAAGTGATTATTTGGGAAAGACTTTAGGAAACCCCCTGTTGGTCATGAATTTTGGGTTTACCTGAAGATGCTAGAAAGACCATGAGAAGTTATGTAATTTGGAGAAGCAAATTAAAAAAAAAGAAAAAGAAAAGGGAGAAGGATAAGTTTTAGAAATAGGAAGTCCAAGAATTCTTTTTTTAAAAAAGTACAAATATCCTAAAACACAATACTAAATTGAGGGACAATATCTCACAATAGGCTATCTTTCATCGAAGAGAAAGTAACCAGGCTTCAAAGACAGGGAAGTGTCGCTTCAAGACTGCAGAAGAGCGCAAGCTTTCCACAAGTATCCAGAATGACATAAATAACCCGGACAGTGGCCAAACATGTCAGCACGAAGCCTCCAAGAATCTGTCCAGGATGGAAGAGAATCTAGTGGTGGGCACATACTTTGATTGAAACATAGCAGTGGTGTAACCTATAGTTCCATTCCTGTATTTTCTGAAGCCAGAGAACATTAGCTAAACTGAAGTTGATAGGAAAAACTCCAATAAACACACAGAAGATTTTGTGAGTTCCACTTGTAAGACTTTTTTCATAATCCTAAAATGTTAAAAAAAATTTTTAATCTCCAATGAATAGAAAACACAATGACATTCAGAGAATATAAACAATTACTTGATTGAGGATACAGTTACAATAGCCTCAAGACATTACTAAAGCTTAATCCTAAAAATTAAGCTTCGACGAAAGAGGCAGCTCTGCCCTTAGTGAGCTTGGAGTCACTACTGTTTGAATTCAAATCCTTGCTTTGTCACTTATTGGCTGTGCAACCTTGGACAAGTTACTAAACTTCTCTTCGACTTCCACATCTGTGCAATGGGAATACACCTACGTCACTTGAAGATAAAAGACAGTGTAAATGGTGGCACTCTGTAGCCTGTGAAAGAGCTACATCTTTGCAGTACGGCAATTAACGCATCCTACAGAGCTGGGATCTCTGCTTAAGCAAGAAGCAAGTACCTGAGGTGTCACACGCATGTCTTCTGGTTGAGGGCTCTCTTGGGGGGGTGCTGCGCCTATAGATAATGTGGGGTTTGTTTTGTTCCTCTTCATCTTCTTCCTCATCGATGGACAGTAGTGGTTCAATAAAATAATCCCCATCATGGGACCGGAATGTGCCCAGCTGCAAATGAAAAAAGACGAGAGGTTGATTTAATACAATAGCGATTGTGAGGAAAAAAATCAGTGGAACACTGCCAAGTAGAGGGGGTGCCATTTTACCCAACCTCTGTCCCTTGAGGGCTGCTCAAACTGAAAATGCTGCCCACGTATTCTGAGAAGCAGTTTATTTTCACTCTCTGCCATGTCAGTAGCTTATCCTTGATTTGACTCTAGTTTACTGTACCTGCTATCCAAGTCTCTAAGAAGTACTTCCTGGTGCTCAGGTTCTAATCAATCACATTAACTCACACAGGCTGTTGAAAATGAGCTTCTGTGTGTTAAGACAGCCTGGAAACTTAGGGGTAAGTGTAAACTCCAGAGGAAAAGCTGACCCAGGGAAGCCTTGTGAATAATGCAAATTCAGGGAGTGGAGCATATGCTGACAAAGCACCTAGCGTGGTGCCACCTGGGACACTGGCACATGAATCTCTCACCCTACTTCTTTTTGCAGTGGGGAGTGGTATGGCACAAGGCTCTGGAGTCAGCTGCCCCGGGTTCCAGCAGACCCACTTACCCACACACTCTGGGCAAGTTCCTGAACTGCTCTGAGCTGCAGCTTCCTTGTTTGTCAATTGGGGATAAAAATCCTTACTGTGCAGATTAAATGAGATAATGCACGTAAACTGTTTAGAACACATTAGTGTCTTTTCGTGTGGCCCTATTAGCCTCTAACCACCAGAATACAATTTGCGTTTGCCAATCATTCTAAACACCTTGAAAGCATTAATTCTTTCCCCTCCCCTTTCCACATACCTACAAGTTTTGCAGATGATAAATGATGCCTCAAGGTTGAACTACCCAAACCAAACATTACAAGAACACAAAAAATTGCCCATGCCATGCCAGGGTCAGTGTTTAAAGAAAGAGATCAAGCTCTTCTCTTTAAAGGGGTGGGTGGGGGTAGCAGGGGAAGCAGAGCCCTTTTATCCTCTGAAGACAAGGTAAGTAACCCCCGCCTTGAGAGTCAGTGGCAGCATTGGCATCATCCAGGAGTTTGTTAGAAATCCGAATCATCCCACTCCACCCCAGATCTGATCTAGTGAATGCAAATCTCTGGGGGGAGAGCCCAGAAATTTGAATTTTAATGAGCACTGCAGGGCATTCTTACGCTTGATTTTTTTTATTCTTATTCTTAAGTTTGCCAAACCTTAGGATAAGATACCGGGATTCCCAAACTCAGCAAAGAGTTAAAAGTGCCCGTAAGTTTTCATAACAATTTAGATTTGAGGCATTACCCCATATCTACAGATTTGCAATTTCCAGGAGTGAGATCTGGGACCTGTGGTTTTAAAAAAGCTCTGCATGCGATTCATAAACCACTGGCTTACAGAGTGGGCAACTCTGATGTGGTCAGACTAAGAGACAGAGTAGTCAGTGTGCTGAGAAGAAGTGATTTAACAATCTTATCTCACCCAATGGACCTCTCTTCGTCTTTAATCCACAACTCTGGTGTTCCCTGAGCAAAGAGCAGGAAGATTACTACAACATGCAAAGCCTAGTAGGGATGGGAAGGAACCTGGAAACTCAGCTGGTGAAGACCTGGCATCTTTGATAAGCAAAAGGGAAACCAAGACCCAGAGAACGAAGCGACTTGTCCATAGTTCCCCTTCAGGGATACACAAGCAGCTGATCAGTCCCAGTGCTAAACCTGTAACTCAGGTATTCTGACTTTAATCCTGTGCCTTTTTAAAAAAGACCTTTGAAATTATCTTTAGGGACACAGATTCAGTCTCTGACCCAGGATGCACAGCATGGGTCAGGAAGACTGGGTGGGACCCCGACTTTGTCACCGATTAGCTGTGAGACTTTGAGCAAGTTTCCAACTCGCAAAGCCTCAGTACCCTCATCTGTAAAATGGGTTGTTTTGAGGGTGAGAGTGCTCTGAGTAGCAGAATAATGTATATGTAAAAGTACTTATTACAGTGTCAGGCATGTAAGAGTTCAATAAATGGTATTTATACAATGCCAAATTAACTTTGTTGACACAAAACAGTTGCTCACTCAAAGAGTAATCCCTTTCTCAGTTAAGGTGACCATTTATTCAAACATAGCACCGAGTAACTAGAATATACAAGGCTCTAATATGGGAGAGAAATGAATGAATGCTGACCCTGCTACCAAGGAGAAAGGACTAGAATATGTGCACCGAGACCTGTAATACAAGGCAGAGCATATGAAGCGCCATAGAGAGATGCCAAGAATTATCTATGAAGGTGGAAAGGGAGTGATGACAGCAGTATGAAGGACTAGGAAGAGACTTCTGGGGAAGAAGAGACATAAGATACCATTTAAAAGAAGGGTATTATTTGAGCATGTGGAGCTGGGTGAGATGACCAAGTAAACCCAAAGGCAGTGAGGTAGGGCTAGGATGGAAAGGAAATTCAGAGAGAGGGACAAAAGCAGGTAGCCTGAGTTACAGGATCTGTGGAGGAAAGCTTAAGAGACAGAGTAGACATGTAGATGTGAATGGGGTGAGAACAGAGACTGGAAATGGGCAGAACTGCCAGAAGGAGTGTAGAGTTGTTCAGTAGGCCACGAAGAGCTCTGTAAAATGAGTGAACAGGGTAGTGATGTGATTTTGTGTCTAGTCATGACTAATCTGGGCGTGATGAGAGGGAACACCCCAAGTAGCCAGAGGAGGTATTTCTGGTGTCAGTCCTCACGAGAGGGGGAGAGATATGAGGGCACTAGAATTAAGGTAGTGATGTTCCGCAGAAGTGAAAGGCCTGTTAGAGATGGAATTCAGAGAAACTGACAATGGACAGGTGGGGTGGGGTTCTCATGGCCCATTCACAAGAATGAAAGATTTCTGGAAGATTTCCTGGGTTGGGCACTAGGAACACCATGGTATTACTGCTACAGACATGGTAAGAGAAAGTCTCAGGAAGAAAGATAAATTGCCCAAGATAAAGGGAGAGGATTTTAAAGTCAGATCAATTGCTGAAGACAGAAACAGCCAGAATACATAGCTTTTAAGATGTATGCTGGAACTTCCACAACTGCACCCCTACCCCCAACCACCATAAGATTACAAATTAAATGCAATGTAAATGGATTTTGCACTGCCAAACGGGTTTAGGCAGTCTGTTCTATAGTCCTGGCCCTCAGTTCCCTAAGGGAATTACCAGTTGCAATTCCACGTGCGAGTCACCACCTAAAACTGTCAATTGAAATTAAGGTCGTGCACAGTAAAATATTTATACAACTGCTAGGGCCACTCAGCAGGGTGTGGAGGCGGGCAGGGAGGAGGAGTAAAGGCTGTTTACAAACTTGACGCACGCACCCAGCCCTATCCTATCCGTAAGGTTCTGGAATTTGAGGGTCACAATTTTGGGATCTGGAGTGCTCGGATGCCCAGCCTGGCTATAACCTTTTAAAGAACGGTAGGATTCCTGTGCTCTGCCCCCAGTTCTTGGGGCAGCGATGACTCACTGCAGCACCCCTTCTCCCTTGGCCAAACTGCGGTCTCCGCCCACCCCCAAACAATCTCAACTACGCATGGTGGCTCCGGTAGCTTTGCTGGGGGCTGAAAGAGCTCGTCTCCAGGAGGGTATCCCAGCTGACTAAACCTCCCCGCTCCCAGTCTTCAGGCTTCCTTCGCTCCCCACCCAACACCTCCATGGAGAGGTGGAGCTGGATGCGACATCCCGACGGGGAACTATGGACCCGTGGGCAGAAGCGTGCAGAAGAGGCAGCCGAGTGTCTCGGGTAAGTATCCATGGTCCTCCCACTTTACAAAGGTGACAACGGGGAATGTGGGTGCTCAGGGGAAGGGTAAACCCATCTCACCCGGGCGCGGCGCGTGCAACACCGTTCGCAGGGAGAGCCGGACCCTGAAAGTTTCTGCGTCACAGGCGCGAAACAGAAACGCACACCGCTTGGGCAACTCCAGGACCATTCTAGCTCCGGCCCAGGGCCTTACAGTGGCGTGGGGAGAGACGGTGGACGCCAAGTAGAACCTACTGGAGGGCAAGTGGGGGGCTGCGGGAGCTTCAGCAGAGGGTCAGGGGACCGGTTTGGATCTCCAGCTAAGTGCGTAATTTGAAGAGCAGCGAGGTGAGCGCTCCGCCCTCTCGCTCTCATTCTCTGGGGAATCGCGCACTCCAGCCTCCCTCTTCCGATTCCTTGGAAGCCCCGCGAGTGGTAGAAACCCCAGAAGAACCTAAATGTCGTCTGGGAAGCCTCTTTAGGTTTTCCACTACGCCTGTTTCTTGGGGCCACCCTGCCAGCAGGGTGCACAGCCGCCCTGTGCCTCACCCCCGCCCTCCTCCAAGTTTCCATCCTAATTAAAGCGTCCGGGGCAGGCTCCGCCCTCTTCCCCGCCCCCGAGCCCTGGGCCCACCCTTCCGCTCCAGGGACAGGTCCTGTTCCCTGTCAATCCTGCTGAGCCTCAGGGTTCCTGGCGCTTGAAAAAAGGCCCTGAGAGAACGCAAGACTCTAGATTACTCACCGCCCGCCACGACACACAGAAGGAACTCCCCGTACCGAGGCTGGGGATCCTCAGCCCACACCCATAACTCAGGACGCGCCAATAAAGAGTCGGGTCCTCCCTGCGCTCAGCTGCTCCTCTCCTGGGCAGCCGAGTTTGCTGCAAGGAAGGGCAACCCTAGCAGTTTGGAAACCGACTTCCAAGCCACCTCCTGGCATTGGGTACTGTGCAGCTGAGCCAAGTTATGACCCTAGAGCGCTCACCCGCTGGGGGCGGATGCGTGTGCTCCTTCTCCAGTGTAAATTCATGCACTGGGCTAGTCACCAGAACTACAAGATGCAAAACGAATTTCTAGTACATATTTAATGCCAGGGCAAGGACTCGGTGCAGTGAGGGTCTCAGGCTAGAGCAATGAAGACTTCCAGAAACGCGGGAGGAGGTACAGAGGATCGGAGGGGAGGCGACGCGCACCCACTTACCATTCCTGAGCAGAGGCTGATGACCGCCGTGTGCTCGGACTTGGTATTGACATAGCCTTTGTAGAAACAGTGCTTGAGTTCCGTTTCTTCCTCGGAATAAAACTTTGTCTGGTTCGCCCCGGGCGCCCCAAGGAGGGTGACAGTGAACAGTGGAGCTATAAATCCGGCATGGGCGGAGAGATTAAATAGAAATTGCTGGCCAAAGGCGGAGAGGCGGTAATGCGCCTGGGAGGAGGTAGAGGAGGCGAAGGCAGGCCAGGGGTCAGAGGCAGAATTAATGCTCCGTCGCCTTCTTTTGAAATGCACGTTTGTGGAAATGGGTTCTCCGAGAGCATTCACTCTGACGGGAGACGCGATTTCATATTCGTTCAGGGTCTCTAATAATTTCACTGCGGAGAGAAAGAAGAGGCACATGAACCAATAAATCAGTGTTCCACGAGTTTAATTTAAAATGAATGTGAGGGCATTGTCCTGTTATTTTTCAGCATGTGTGTGTGTGTGCCCATTCGAGTCAATCCCTTTGCCCTTCCTCAGTCAGTGACAAATATTTGTGGAGCACCTACTGTGTGCCAGAAACAGCCAGAAGCTGTGTTAGGCGCTGAGGATACACGCCATTCGAAGCCAATGAACAAGTCAAAATACATGAGATAATTTCAGATCCTGACAAATACTCTTCATTAGACATGACATTATCTGGTGTCCCCGGTTACTAAATAACTATAGTTTGGGGCATGGGGGGGAATGGGGAAGGGAAAGAACCGGTTAAAAGTAAAGGGTGTTTGTCGAAGGGGCTCAGTTTGTTCCAGTGTGTCTCCCTAGAAACTGGCTGGGAATGACCTAAAAAAGGGAGAGGCTACAAAGCTGGAGATAATTCTTTCTAGGAAAAGGAGAGAAACCTCAGTTGTGGGGTGCCCGTTGTCGGCCGTGTTGGCTAGGGAGGTGGCTGAGGGGCAGAGGGGTCCCGGTGGCCCGAGCCTCATTACCTTGCCTCGGGTGCAGCCTGTCCTTGCGCACGGCCGCCGCGGCGCCTGGGCTCCCCATCTCGGCCAGGTCCCGTACCAGGAGCGTTAGCAGTGTGGCCCAGGATACAAACTGCATGGTGCTCCCCACCCCTCCCCTCGTTGCCCCCACCCCCCTCCCTCCTTTCTCCTTGGCTGCGGTGGCGACGCAAGGCAGCGGCCGCTGAGAGCGCGGAGCCCGGCGCCCGCCGCCAACTTTTGACTTTAGGAGTCGCTGAGGTCTCGCCGCGAGGGTCCCGTCTGCGCTCGGCTGAGCAACGCCGCCGCCTGCCGAGAGCTGAGCCGCTCGGGCTGCAGGAGGAGCAGGAGGAGGAAGGCTGGTGCGGGGCTGTTTGGCTGCATAATGTCCCAGGAGCGGGCGGGCAGGAGAAGGCGCGGGACGTGCGCTCCCAGGCGCGCCGGGCGCCCTGTGCTGGCTGGGATAGCGGAGCCGCTTCTTGAATGGGGGGCTGGTGGGGGGCGGAGGCGGGGGGGCCGCGGGTCCACCGCTGCTCAAATACCCCTGGTGCCCGCCTCTAGGAGGCGAGGGGAGGAGAAAGCGGAGCGAGCGGGGACCGCCTCCTTCCATCTTGTCCCCTCCTCGGCCGTGCGCGGAAGCCGGAGGCCCTGGGAGCTCCGAGGCTGCCGGCCGCGGCCCCGCCACCTCGTGGAGATCGGCGCTCCTGAGACTCCCTGCCTGGAAGAGAAGGCAGAGCCAAGTTCTCTCCCTCTGCCGGCGCTTGCAGCGCCCTCGGACCCGTGCCTCCCGTGCCGCTCCCCTCTCTCCTCCTCCCTCCGGATCTGGGTTCTCTTCCTCGCCCTTGCCTCCAGGCCGCTCTGTTTTGTCTCTGCCCCCTTCCCGTCACTCTGGTCTCTTCTCCCCTTCCCTCTGTGCCCCTCTCCGTTTCCCGCATCTCTTTAATTTTCTTTCCCTTGCTCTCTCTTCTGTCCCCATTTCTTCCTCTCAGTCCTCTCTCGTCTCTCTATGCATTTCTGCCTCCGTTTTCCCGTTCTTTGGGGTTCTTAGAAGTGAAGGTGGCCCAGTGGCAAGAGTGCCTCCCTTCCTAATGTTTCTCGATAGGGACTAGATTTGGCATCTGAGCTCCGCTCTCAATTTAATTGCTCCAACTCAAGAGTTTTAGAAAAATGGAGTCCTTAATCTTGAAGTTCGGGATGTGTTTTCAAATCCGTGGTCTTTCAAGGTTTTGCAAACCTTTTCCCCAACGTCTGTCCCCATCCCGAGAGGGTCCAGAGCTTTCTGTAGGTCCCCGGCCCAAAAAAGGTTAAGAATAGTTCTTGGCAGCTAGAGGGGGCGGGGACTTCAGCGCCCAGGCTGCCCCGGGTTTAGGACGGGGCGGTGGGGGATGGGGAGTAGAGGGAAGAGTCGTGGACCCCTAAGGGAAGCACTAGTCCCCGGAGAGATTTTTTCATTCACTTCCTGCTTTTTTGCCAGAGAGATGCTTGGAGCGGCTCAAAGCTGATGCTTCTAGCTACACCTACCCTCACGTTGGCATACACATTTGAAAGTCAGAAATTATTGCCAGAGAGGGAGGGAGGGAGAGAGGGGGGAGAGAGAGAGAGAGAGAGAGAGAGAGAGAGAGAGAGAGAGAGAGAGAGAGAGAGAGAGAGAGAGGAGAGAGAGTGTGTGTGTGTGTATGTGTGTGTCAGAGAACTGTTTAATTCTGGATGTGTGAGTGTAAGGGTGTGTGTGTGTGTGTGTGTGTGTGTGTGTGTGTGTGTGTGTGTGTGAGTGACAGACAGACAGAGAACTGTTTAATTCTGGATGGTTTAAAAGCACATTTTTCCCCCACTGGCCTTCAGGAAGATAGGATGTCCTAATTTCAAGGTAAAGGAAAAGGTAATTTTGGAAAAGAGATATGGCAAGTGTCCCAAAACAGGAATTTTCTGTTGCTTGACAGGCTGGTACTTAGGGTTGAAAATACCAAAGACTGCCAACACCAGGACCCAATAGCCATGTGCTAGAAGGGTCCACTCTTCTGGAAATATTAATGCTTATGTTTCTCCAGGTAGAGAGAAAAATGACTTGGCAAGACTGGAATTTCCAAAAAAGTTGTTGACCCAAATTGACCAAAGTAATACAGTTGGCATTGTCTTACAAATCATTGTCATTGATTTATAGTGGGAATATACAGAGTAAAGACAGGAAAACAGGAATACCTGTAAAGTATGCAGAGATTTTTGTAAAGGATAGCATTTAAATCTTTTTCTTAAACCTTCAAAGTAATTTACTCAAATACATTTCTTCTAATACATAATCTTTCTTTTCATTCTGTAATAAAATTTCTCACAATCATAGTATCTGGAAGTTGCTGAGAGTTTAGCAGGGAATAGAAAAATATCAATAAATCAAACTATTAGCTGATTCCTAATGAAAATATCTTAGAACTGCCACTGTCAAATTATTTAAAAATAAAGCACTTTTACAGATACGTAGGTAAAAGGTACAGAATAGATAGCCCAAGAACAAACCTATATATAAATGATCAATTAATTTACAACAAAGAGCCAAGAATATATGATGGGGAAAGGACAGTCTCTTCAGTAAATGGTGTTGGGAAAACTGGGCAGCCACATGTTAAAGAATGAAACTGGACCCCTATCTTACACCATACACGAAAATGAACAACTAAAAATGGATTAAAGACTTAAGCATTAAGACTTGAAACCATAAAACGAGAAGAAACATAGGGAGCAAGCTCCATGATGTCGCTCTTGGTGATGATTTTTTTGCATTTGACACCAAAAGCAAAAATAAACAAGTGGGACTACATCAAACTATAAAGCTTCTGCACCAGCAGAGGAAACCATCAACACAATGAAAAGGCAACCTACCTAATGCAAGAAAATATTTGCAAATCATATACATGTGATAGGGGATTACATCCCAAATATAAAAAGAACTCACACAACTCAAAAACAAAATCCATGGGGAAAAATTCTGAGTAGACACTTTTCTAACGAAGAAATACAGATGGCCAGCAGGTATGTGAAAAGGTGTTCAACATCAGGAAAACGCAATCAAAACTGTAAGATAGCACCTTATACCTGTTAGAATAGCTCGTACCAAATAGGCAAGAAATAGCAAGTGTTGGTGAGGATGTAGAGAAAAGGGAACCTTGTGCACTGATGGCAGAAATGTAAATTGGTGCAGCCACTGTGGAAAAGCATATGGAGGTTCCTCAGAAAATTAAAAATAAACCCATATGATGCAGCAATTCTGTTTCTGGGTATTAACATGAACGAAATGAAAACACCAACTCAAAAAGTTACCTGCACCCCCATGTTCACTGCAGCATTATTTACAATAGCCAAATCATGGAAGCAACCTAAGTATCCACTGATGAAATGAAGAAAATGAGGTGCATATACACAGTGGAATACTATTCAGCCATAGAAAAGGAAGAAATCTTGCCATTTGCAGCAACATGGATGGATATTTAGGGAGTTATGCTAAGTGAAATAAGACAGAAAAAAACAAACACCAAATGATCTCACTCATATGTAGAATCTCAAAAAAAAAAAAAAACAATGACAAAAGCCTGAGTTTGTAAATTTCTTATCCTCAGTGAGTCTGTTCCTCCTTTCATAAGTGTATTAGCTCGCCTCTGAATTTACGTCTGCAAACAAGTTTTAAAATATTTTAGAAAGATGTTTGAAATTATAAGAAATCTAAGACAAACCCTTTTAAGTAATTTAGGTCAAAATCTTTTGTATGAATAATAATAAAAGTAATAAAATAATAATCAATAATGTGCCAGACCATGTGCTCATATACAGCATTTAATTCTTAGAACAGCTCTACGAGACAGGCTTAGTAATTCCATTTTACAGATAAAAGATATTGAGGTCTAAGCAGCGAAATAATTTGACAAGGGCACCCTGATTAGTTAAGTGAGACATGATTCAAATTCTGTTTCAGTTTAGTCCAAGTTCATAACTACTGTTGTGTATAATGAATAAATGATTGATCAGAAGTGTTGCTAGGTTTTAGGAGGCTTAATTTGGGAGAGGGTAGCTAAATGTACCTAGAGAATTGCCACAATTGTCTTTTCTATGCATAAGTTTTCTTTGGCTCTTTTTTCTGATGCTGAGTATTGAATGATAATCATCCTGGCTATTTCTTTGATATTTCACAACTATTTCTCGAGCACCTAGAACAGGTCTGGCACACAGTCTTGCTCCAGCAATATTTATTGAATGAATATATATAACCCTTCTGCTTTGGTTCAGCTGTGCTAAAATGACATTTTTATACATACGAACACACACACACACACAGATACACAGTTTGGAGATTTGTTCTATAGACAGGAATATAGAATTACCTGAGTTCAGGGGTAAGTGGATTCTACAATAAACTGGCCCATCACACAATCTGTTCTGAAAAAGCAGAGCTTTTTGAGGTCATCCAGAGTTAACAGGGGTACAAATTTTGGCCTTTCGCCTTCCAGGCTTTACTGGAACTGAATGTTATTATAGGTTAAGTGGAAGAGTTCTTTGGCCAATTCTTCATGAAAACTGGATCCCAAAGGAGTGATGATTGACATGAGTCACTAGGGAGAGATAATCTGGTCAATGGAAATGTGAGAGATGACATCATAAATGACTGTACAACTCCACTGAAAACAGCAGGAAGGAAATTTGAAGCAAATCCATCTATTTCCACAGAAAGGGAAAACCCACAACGGACTGATAGGGAGTGATCAGGAGCCAGAATTCAAGTGAATAGTTTCCTGAGTGGTCAGCAGTGGGTAGTTCTAGAACAGATAAGCTCATGGTACCAAGTTGCACAGGATTCTGGCAATGAAGCACCAAAGCTGGGAAATAAACAGGGGAGGCCCAACTCTGTAGCCATGGGCAGGGCCCTCTCTGATCCAATTTCATGTCTGCAGAGTGGAGGTAGGCAGAAAATGTGTCATCTTTGCTTGCTACATGGGTGAATGACCATGTTTTTTTAAAGTCATCCAAATCCTGACTTAAAGCAAAGCATAATGTAGAGAAAACTATGTTATAATACAATTAGTGTACTGAAAGTTATACTGTTAGTGATAATGATGTAAGATTCTCTTCATTGAGTTCCTACTTTCTGTTAATTATTTAATCTTCATAGCAGTCCTGCTGTCTGGCCTTCTCCATTATGCAGATGGTAAAAATAAGATTCAGCAAAGTTAAGTGACTTGCCCAGCATTTACGGAGCTAGAATGTGCTGAGTCGGGATTTGAACTGGGGTGAATTTACCTCCATAGCTGTGATCTCTATTAATCTGAGTAGCTCAGTAATATAAAGATGTTTACCTAATTGCTCTTGATCGTTTATACCTGGACTGTTGAATGTGATCAGTGGGAACATATTTTTTTTTCTTAATGCTCTATCTGAAGTTCTAAGTAACTTCTCTTGAGCCTACTTGGAAAGTCAAAGTTCCTGTTTTTAAGATGGCTCTACACCGCTCATGACTAGCTTATGGCAATTCTACCAAGCTGTTCACTCACCAGGTATTCCTGGCCTACTTACTGTTCCAGAAGACCCTGCTTATGCTATTTCCCAGACTTTGGAACCACAAATGAATCCCACTAATACTCGCTTGAGACACTGGGCCTCAAATCCTCATTCCACCTCCTCTAATATCTTGTGGACCGAGACCTTCAGATTCATTCTGACAGTTCAACACACAAGTGATTCAGTTGTGCTGGATGTCAAGCTCAGATACAAACCGCTCCTAAATGGAAGCCAAACTAGAAAGCGGTACAATGTATGCAAATGCAATTTTACCATTTTCTGGAAGTACACATTCAACATAGACAGTTTTAAGGATATGCTAGCATGGAATCTGACAACTCTTAGAGCGTTTTGAGAGGCGCCAGGATGCGGAATGCCACCTGGCCCTGAACTTTTCCCACCCAGTTTGCTTCACACCTTCTGCTGTTGTTGCCTGGTGTCCTTTATTCGACTTCAGACCACATGAGGGCAGAAAGCAAATCTATCTCACCTCCCCAAGTATCCCCTTGGTGGTATATAATAGGCACTTCATAAATATTTCTTAAATGAATGAGTTAACTAGTGCCACAAAATTTGTTCCTAGTCTTCAGAGCCAGTGTTTGTTTGTTTTTATGGAAGTTATTGTCATACACACACACAAAACCCCAGAAATGACTGAGGTAATCTGTTTCTCATGGCTCCGCTACTCATGGGAAGTAAGTCTTGCTTTAATTATAATCTTACCCTGATTCCTTTTTTCTGGAATACAAGTTTTTCTGGAATAGAAAGCTAGGCTTTCCCCAGTGGCAACTTCAGAATTGTGAGCACCGCAAGTAAGAGACCAATGCAGCGGGTAGTTTCCTTATCCTTTCCATATCCTGAAAACAGAGAAATAATCATGGTTACCTGCCTCATAGGAATGCTGTGAAAATGACTAATAAAGTGCAGGCCTAGTGGCTGACACAGAGCAAGTGATCTCTCAGTGTCCAATTAGCGGCGTCACTCTAAGCTGCCTACCAATCAGGAAGAGTGCTTCCCGCTTCAGTTTGCCGGAGAAGGGCCCTGG